CGACCGGCGTCAAGAAGTGTTCCCCGAAGGTTTGTTTTGGGGGGGGGGGGGGGGGCTATAGTACCCAAGCTCCTGAGGATGCAGAGCTTGGGGCAGGACTGAAAAGACTGATTGTCAGTGTGGAGGAAGACCATTTTAATTGTGTGGGCTGCACACTGCACTCCAGAGGCCTCTCCTGTCCACGAGTCTGCCCTAGAGACCTCTCCTGTCCATGAGTCTGCTCCAGAGATGGTGGCGTCTACTGCAGAACCTCTACAGTCTGCCCTGTCACGTCCAAGAAGGTCAAGTCACCTTTATTTATATAGCGATTTTAACAATACGGATTGTGTCAAAGCAACTGTACAGCATTAATTAGGAAAATAGTGTGTCAATAATGCAAAATGACAATAGTAAATGCTCAATTTTCTGTTAAAGGAAGTTCATCATTGAATTCAGTGATGTCATCATCCAGCTCAGTTCAGTTTAAATGGTATCTGTGGAATCAAGTCAACGATATCGCTGGAAATGAAGTGTCCCCAACTAAGCAAGCCAGAGGAGGCAGCGGCAAGGAACCAAAACTCCATCGGTGACAGAATGGAGCAAAAACCTTGGGAGAAACCAGGCTCAGTCGGGGGACCAGCTCCCCTCTGGCCAGACGAAACCAACAGTTCAATTCCAGGCTGCAGCAAAGTCAGATTGTGCAGAGGACTCATCTGGTTTCTGTGGTCTTGTCCCGGTGGCCATCTAGGAGACAAGGTCTTCACTGGGGATCTGTTGCCCTGATCTCCGCTGACTTTCAGGGCTGTAGATGTCCTCTCTAGGTGCTGATCCACCATCTGGGCTGGATACGTACTGGATCCGGGTGACTGCCGTGACCATCTGATCTTGATACAGATTGGATCTGGTGGCTATGGTGACCTCGGAATAAGAAAGAAACAAACTAATATTAGCGTAGATGCCATTCTTCTAACGATATAGGAAGTTCATCGGGTGTTATGGGAAGTGTTCCCAGTTCTGGTTTTCCTAATTAATGCAGCCTAAAAATCCTTTAACGGATTTGAATATTAGAAATGTGTTAGTGTGTTGTGTAAACCAGGTTAAAGGGATTGATCTTTAATCTAGATTTAAACTGACAGAGTGTGTCTGCCTCCCGAACAATGATAGGTAGGTTATTCCAGAGTTTGGGCGCTAAATAGGAAAAGGATCCAGTAGCCCGCGGTTGATTTTTATATTCTAGGTATTATCAAATTACCAGAGTTTTGAGAACACAGCAGACGTGGAGGACTATAATGCAATAAGAGCTCGTTCAAATAGTGAGGTGCTAAACCATTCAGGGCTTTGTAAGTAATAAGCAAGATTTAAAAATCTATACGATGTTTAATCTGTTAACCCGCACCTGGATGTTGGTGCACTGAACGCTCTTTGTTTGCACATGTCAATGTTTACGAATAGATTAAATGAAAATGGACATATTTCATCTTGACAAACTATATATCATTCTAAAGGTCTAAGCCTCAAGCATCAACAATAGATCGCAGTGTTTCAATGGAAAGCTTATAACGAATGTATTTGCTAAATTTGTGTAAGCAGTACACATCAAAACATGCATAATCAAAATGCAGTACATACCAGATTCATCGTAATAACGAGTCATAAACGCATCCACAACTGTCAGGCTTGTGTTGTGTTTTGTTCCCCATGTGCTCCCTGTGTCCCAGTGGTTATGCCCATATTTGGTTAGTTTCCGGTTCCTGTCCTGATTATGTTGATTTCATTCCAGATGTTCCCCGTTTATTTCCATTGATCCCAGGTGTGTCTCATCATCCCCTTCTCTTGTCATGTGTTTAAATAGTGTTCCCGGTTGTTAGTTCAGCGTCCAGTATTGTT